TTTTTCTTTATAAAATTGTTTTAACAAAAAGGTGAAATAAGTTTGTTTTACTGATTGACACATCAAAGATACCGACAACCTGTGATGCTGACGAAAAAATGCACAAAAAGTGTAAAAACACATTCATCTCAATTCATTACTGTGTTAACGGAAATGAGGCAAATGCTAGCACATTTCCTTTTTAAACTAATCTTCTTCTTAAACACAACCGCTCTGCACATCTTATCACAATACAAATGATTTTCATAAATATCTCACGTGTTTTCACGTGAAATGTGCTGTTACGCTTCACGAATTTCAAAATAGTGCAAGTGAGTTGTGAAGAGGTGGTGGTTGGTTGTAAGGAGATTAGACAAAGGTGAAGTTGTCAAATATTTTTTATGAAACAACTGTTACTTTAAATGATTTTGTGAACAAATTTACAACCAAAACTAATGAAGACCCACCATTAACATTTAAACTTCTGAAGATGAAAGATTCTTAAAAAAATAGAGAAAAGATATTTGAAAATAAGGGATTTTCATATTAAAACTTCATTCATTTGGACATTCTACAGTATAAGCTTATATACAAAATTATTTTTTTTGAGCTTTTAAAGCTTTTGAGGCTTTTATTTGATTTTGAATGAAGGATAAGAGATTGAAGCTATTCTAAAACATGTTTTGAGATCAATTAAAATTAATATAAAATGGTCTCAGATGGATTAATCAACTATTCAATATGTTGAAGATTCTGTTGGCAGACGTTCTTTTGTCTCAATTGCTTTATCCTTAGCTTCTTCTTCATCAACATATTCATAACGCATTGCTGAAACATATTTGAAATATATGTATTGCATTGAATGAAGTTACCTAATAGAATGAAAACTCCCATAACTAAGACCATCAGCACTGCATAAACGAAGAACTCAGCTGCCGGTTCAGGAATGATATGAGTTCCACTGATTGCCATATCAATAACATTTCCCATGAATACTGTCAAAAGCCATAAAGCCTGAATAATAAGATGATTAAAGATTGTTCAGTGTCTATCTCAGCTCACTTGTAAGACACTCTTCATATTAGGTGATGATTGAGAGTATGCAAACTCCAAGCCTGTTACTGATAATAAAATTTCTCCGAGTGTAATAACAACATATTGGGGTATCATCCATAATATGGATACGGTATTTGGACGGACCTCAAATTTATAAATTCAAATGATAGACGATCTGTTTCATTCTTTACCAATTGATGAAAATCGCTCTCATCCGTATGATCGTGTATGTGGAGTACATGAACTGATCCCATTTGGATCTAAATCATAATATTTGGTTCGTTTGATATGTTCAAAACGTTGTTTACCGTAAATGGTTGTGATCGTGGGCAATCCGTCCCGGAACAATTTTCTCCAAAGTATAACATGTATTCAGGTTTGCCAATAATAGGTGGACGAATATCAACCTTTTCTCCTGATCGCAGTGGTGTTTGACTAACTATATGTTCACTATAATATATAGTTATGATATAGCTATATATAGTTATAAAAAATACTTGCTATCAACAACAAAGAACGTTCCATTGGTCATTGATGGTACTATAAGATAGATACGAGAAGCTCCATTATCAGCTTTCTCCGTGGAGTACTTGAACATATCAAGGCGAGATCTTAATTATAACATTAAAAGTTGTAATAGAACATAAGCTTCATACTTTCCATCTGTACCATCGAAAAGACCCACAACATATCCCATTCCCGATTCTGTCAAGTTCAAATAGTGCTGATCGTTTAGGACGTTTATCGAATACATGCCATTAAGCATTTCTGTTCGTCCAGATGGCAGAATACCTGAATACGTCATAAAATCATTTGAAAACACTTGAATTCAACAAACCAGCATTCACAAGTTCACCGTTTACAGATGAGAGGGTGCCCAAGTTTGACGAATTTCCAATTCGTTGTACGTAGATATTACCATTGGTTGGAGGTTCTTCCATTGTGTTGTTTACTTCCAACTGTAAAGCAAGACAATTAGTATTAACTATGTGATCATAGTTTACTTGTAAAAACCCTGCCATAACGAAAGCTAAAGCCGTCAACAAGCCTCCAATGGCCATCTTTCTTAAAGGTGTTACCTTTGTGAACTAAAGTAATATAATTGAATTAAGAAGATGAGTCATCTGTCATAGTACCTTCTTGACTGTTGGATACACAATTCCTTCGAAAATTGGGACCATTATTAACACAATCAAGGGGTTTAACGTGTTGACTTGTTCAGGTAGGACTGTAAGCCAACCAATCCTTCCATCTAATCTCCGAGCTTGTAATACCCATGTTGACCCCTGGTAAAAGACTGATAAAGAATAAATTTTTTTTTGCAGACCTGCTGATCAAATAAAGCCCAGAAAACAACGAGCGGTGAGAAGATTACAGCCACATTAACAAACCCACGAACGGCCTTAAAGATTAACGAAAAGTTATTTTGACATTCTTCACATGCTGACTTTGATCATTTCGGGAGTATAATTAGGAGCAGCTCTGTCTAGCCAATGAGCGACGGGCTTGGAGGATTTCCTGGAAGAAGTTCGTTACCATAATCCGATAAAGTGGAAAACAAACTCTGAAGTTGTACGGTAGGCTGCTGTTCCGATGCATGAAATTACGGCGAACAAGATATTTTCCCTGCTTGGAGGATATTTCTTGAACTTCTTCCATCCACTTAAGAACAAAAGAAGAGCAATAAGCATCAAGACTCCGGGGACTCCTTCAAAATTGTGATTTGAAAGAAAACTCCGCAAATGTTCATACCAAAGGCTAATGGGAAACAATATTCTGATCCAAGACATGAAACTCTTCCTCGTAGAATTGGAGTCAAGATAATTGCAAAGAATGAGCCTCCGTTGATAGCAAAATAGAAGAAGGAAAAGAATTGTGCTCGCAAATCTTCTTGATGTTCAGAAAACTTCAATTAATATATTCTTTTAACTTCCAAGCATTCTGCTTCCTTACTTGGTCTGCCGCAAATGCCGATACACAAGGCTTTATTCCTCCTGTAGCAAAAGCAATGACGATTAAACCGGAGAAATCAAAGAACGTTCGAGTAGCTGGAAAGAGAGTTATGATTGAATTGGCTGAAGAATGCTGATGATATACTATATTCAAACGTTGGAATGGCACCGAAGGACAAGAGTATGTGACCAAGAACATATATCATGGAACCATAGAGAATAACCTTAAGAAAGACATTTCGTGAAGTACTTACACACATAGAGAGATATATATATAGAGAAAGAGGGTAGAAGGAGGGTGTGATAGGGAAAGGAATGGTTACCTTGAATCTTCCCAAATAAGAATCAGCTAAGAGAGATCCAATAAGTGGTGATGTATAAGCTAAGCAGGTAAAGCCATGATAGATGAGTGTTGCTGTGCTTAAAATAATGTTTTAAACAAACATTGTTTAGAAAAAAAGAAAAAGAATGTAATTACCTTGGCGAATAGTGATGTTCAATAATAAAATACAATGTTAAGATGGCTTTCATTCCATAAAACGAGAAACGTTCACAGAATTCATTCCCAAGCATCAGAAATACTGTCGTTGGGTATCTTGAAGATGTTAAAAAGCATTTTATGAGTTGAATGAATGGAACTTACGAACGAAAATTATCAATTAAACCACCCATATTAGGTCGTTTTTGAGTCAGAAATGGTTCTGACTGTTCTTCGGCCGATTTGACTGAAACACACAAAAAATTAAATATTTTTAAAGAAAATAAAAGAAAAGAAAAAAATGAAAATAAAAACTGGTATTTTTCAACATTTTCATACAAAAAAATGCTTTTATCTTGTCCTTCTATCAACATAGACTTGTCTTTCTCTTTTAAAAAACAAAGAAATCTGATATGAAAAGTTCATTCTCGATGTTTTGTACACAGAAAGCACTTTGGAGATGATTTTCACGCTAATCACACACATACACATACACATCGGTAACACTTCCTTTACATCAGCATCACTTGATCAAATAACATGTTAACACGTGTATATGAACGTTTTATGCTCATATTCAAGTACATACTAATCAGATTAATGTACGAACATGTAAGCTTGAACGTGCATAATGGCACGTTGTAGATGTATGTATGTGAATATACACGTGTTGAGAGCATTCACGTGTTGTAGTATAAAGGAAAGAATGAATGTGAGAGAAATGAGAAAATGGAACATTTAAACCATTTCCAAATAGCCAATTACAGTATAATTGATGAAAAATGTTTAAAATCGTATTGACGAAGACAAAAAAGAACAAAATGATGAGTGCAAAAGCATTTTGAAGGAGTTATTTGATCAAAATTGAAAGTCAAGCATCTTCTTTATCGGGACAAAGCTAAAGTGGATTGATTGAAGATGGAACATATATATGAGAGAGGAAAACTGAAAGGAAAAAACATATAATTAAGTCATTTGAAGAATTTAAGTTCCAGTCAAAAGGCCTTTTTTCATTTTAAAAGCGAAACAAAAACGTTTAATTGATCATCTTTATATCAAAAATGAGAATTGTTGGTCCAAAAAATGATTTTTGATTATATTCTTCATCATCATTGTTATCATCATCATCATCATCATTGACGTCTTCATATATACAAGCAGTAGATGAAGATGATGATGATGATGATGGCATGAAGATTTGAAAACGAGAGGTTACATCTAACATACATATAGTTAAGGCAATATTACATATTTTTCTTTTTATTTGTATGAAAAGAAGGAAATTCAATTCACTTTTTAAGAAGTTTCATTGGAATTTGAATGAATTTCAAACGACCTAAGGGACTTTTGAAGCAAAATGAGGTAAGAAAGAGGAAAAGAAATTGACATGAACGAAGAGAGGGACACAGATAAGAGACAATTCGATGACTTTTTTTCCTTTTTGAGAGGAGAAGATGATTGTTTTGGATATTTGCCAGAGAGATGGATGTAGAAGAAGAAGAAAAAGAAGAAGAAAAGCTGAGTATATCAAGGAGTGAGACGAGTTGAAGAAGCAGATTGAAAGCTGGATGGATAAACATATATAGATGGCACAAGTAGAACCGTTAAAGAGAGAGAGAGAAGCAGAAAGGGAAAAAGAGAGAAAGAGATAGAGAGAGGAAGGGATAGAGGGAGAGAGAGGGTAAGAAGGAGGGACTAATGATCCGTCGGTCAAACGAAGTCTTTTTATCAGAGAAACCGGACAGTGAAGGTCATCACATTAACAGGGTTTGTTCATGTTTGTTGCCCAGAGGATATGAATACTATAAAAAAAGAGAAAAATAACCAGATAAAAATGATAAAACAAGTCATTTTCACTTTCAAATCAAAAGATTTCGATGCCAAATAACACAAGATTAAGAGAGAAGTCGTTAAGGGGTAGATAGAAGATGGGGGACCAACGAGGGGATGAAGGCAGTATAACGTAATGACTACTAGATCAAATGCTAAATGTTTCAAATGAATATAGTGAGTTTCTTATGGAGCACAATGCAAGAGGATTACGAGAATAACTTAAATTCTTCCTTTTTGGAACAAAAAACTACGAAAATGAAAAAAAAATAAAATTTGTGAATGACAAAGGATTAAGCCTCATTTAAATGAACTCGCTTGAACTTTAATCCTGACCATTCACGTGAACAGTAGTTGTTGGAGAGAAAACGGAATTTACTTCTTCCATAACTAATCGGATCGTTTAGTTAAACAATATGTTTTAATATAACAACATTGATTTTATATGGTAAAAGTACAAAATCACATATAAATAGTAGTTTGAACAACCGCTCGACTTTCTCTGATGTTCTCAGACCCTCTCTGTTTACAATACTCTTTCTGCAAGTCTTTTTCATGGAAGCTGTTTTTGGAGATAAATAAAAGTTTTATAAATATAAAACCATAAAAGGCATACAAACAAATAGCTAGGATAGTTTTGGGATTTTGCTTTTGACAGTTACCTTAAATAGACTTCTCGTCTCTCTATACCTCGTCTCTCTATCAATCTCAATCTCTCTCCCTCATCATCTCCGTTTTTTTCAGCTCACCGTGAAACTTCCTTAAACAATTACCAAATTAATAGTATAATTGAATTAGTTCATTAACAAGTCATGTATGAGAGGTGAAATTTCCAAAAAAAAAAGAATTTTTCAAAGGAATTGGAACATGTTCTAAACTTAAAGCATTCCTTTTCAAACTCTCGAAAGCTCAATAAATCTTTATGGACTAACCCATTGTGAAGGATGAAGATGTCCGATGATATTTGAATGATAGCGATGAGATTTATTGGTGGTTGGAACGTCACTGGAACATATACGGTTAGAGAACACGTTCACGTAGGTAGAATAAGCTGTAACAGATAAGCACAGCTTCAACCTATCTACCGTCTGAGCTGTAAATGTGAAAAATTAAGAAATGAAACGAAAAATTAGCCGAAAACGACGAAGAGTCTCGTTCACGTAGTGGTCTTTGTGTCGATGTCATTTTCCTTTTTTGTCCATCATGTCTCTCTCTCTCTCTCTAATTCTCTTTAGATTGCCTAACCTCCTCTCTATCTTATTTCTCTCCCTCTCTTTCTATAATTTTACCTTTTCTCATTAGTTTCCTTGCTTATATCAATCTCCATCATCTTCCGGTACATCTTTTGACGTTTTCTTCTGTATTTGTCTGTTCAGAGTGGTTGATATGAAAACCTCTAATTTTCTCCTTTTTTTCACTCTTTGACAATCTCTTTTTCTCTTCTTATCTTGTCTTGCCTCCCTCTCTTTTTCTTTTTCTCTCTTACTCTCCCTCTCTCTCTCTTTCATTCAACATATTTCTCTTCTCTTTCTCCAGATTCCTTCACATTCCATGTTCATCAGCCCCCTTTTGCAATTTACGAAAAGACAAAACCGTCGTCAGGTTATGTGATAATGATGGCTAACACACAAAGTAATCTTCTCTCATCATTTATTATTTTATTTGATGAATGACCTCTGCAAGTTGTCACTTGCAAATCATCGAAAAAGGATAGTTGCTTCATGTAAAACATCCAACAAAACCTTATTTCTATCATTGCCTTTTCTTTTTTTTTCATTTCAAAAGAACTTCTCACTCTCAGCTATTTTCGCATTATCATTCTTCTTCTTTCAACACGAAAACATCGATTTTATGAATTTTTTTCGATCAAAATCCATCTGTCACATAGCATGAACTTCTTCATTTTTAAATATCTTCATAATTATATTTAGAAAATGGACTTTTCTTTTTCATACCGTCTCTCTCTCTCTCTCTCCATCTCTCCCTCTCTCTCTCATTTTATCTTCTTTTCTCTATCTCTCTCAATAGTTCTTTTTCTTTAATTTAATATCGAGATAACAAAGCAACCGATTCTGTTTTTAGAAATAAGTGAAAATGAAAGTCACGTGTCATACGTGAACTTGACATAAACGATATGCTAATTATCTGTATGACCTATCAGTTATCTGACTCTTAGATCACACTTTCTTCATTCTCTCCGAATGACTGGCGATAAAAATGAAGAATATTTTTGATGCGACTGTCTAGATGAAAGAATTAATCTCTACACGAAGGCGTTTGTTAGCTTTGACTCACTCGAATCAACGTCATCATTTGAAGTGATAAGATGTTACGGAGTCTTATAAAAGAGCCGAGTTCAGAGGAGAGAAACAGTTTTCTCAAGAAAATCATTTCTATCAAAATGTCTTATAACCCATACTACAACGGTTACAACATTGGCGGTGGAGCTTACCCAGATGTAAGTTTTATTCTCATCCTATATTTTATTCAATTTTATATTATAGCACATGGGTTACGATCATCATCATCACCATCACGAGTATCGCCATCATGAATATGATCACCATCACCACCATCATCACAACCCTCTCCATCATGTTGCCCATGATATTTCACACTCTGTTCATCACGGTAATTTTCATATATTCTCATCCGAAATTTCATGCCTCTGTTTCAGCTGTCCATAACATAACTCATCCATTCCATCATCACCATCACCATGGACACCATCATCATCATCATTGCTAGACAGCTTCATTAACACTGTTTGTATATATCTCTCTCAACATTCTCAATAAATATTCCTTGCCAAATGATTGTTGTGGGTTTTAACACCTTTTTTCTGCCATTTTCTGGGTAAAAGATGACAATCAGGTCTCATTCTCCAGGACTGTGGTATGATGGCATCCATTTGTGAACAATCAAACTGGAGGTCATCTTATTTTCCTTATAAAATTTCTTGTGAACAGTATCGAGATTGAGAAGCATTTCACCCATCAGGAAGTATCTCAGACATCAGACTTTCGATCTATGTACCAAACAAAGAATGTTTTTGGTAATCGCTAACACTACTCTCATCTATGCAGTCAGTTTGGTGTCTTCCAATCTCAGCTTATCAGCCGCAGGAGAAAAAACCAAAAAAAGAAGACACAGTAAAAACCGCACGCGTGAGTCATGCGTTGCGTGAGAAAGATATTTTATTTCTCGTTATCTTTGCATTTCACATCGCAGATAAAGAAAAAAAGCTTCGAATTATAAGCTTTATTACATATTTCCACCAAAACCATCTTTTATATCATTCATCGTTCGATTTTTGTAATTAAATTATATGTTTACGTGCACGAGACATCAATATTTCGAAATTATTACGTAAATGGAAGTGTACAAGGGAATATTGATAATTCTATATTTAGAATATCTTTAATAACGTCAGATTTGAATTCGCTGCCTGTAAACGTGCTCCACTGAGAATGGGCGTTGGCGACGCGAACAGATCCTATGCAACTCTTTCCAGTATTTATAATTAATTAATATTATTTGAATATTCTAATTGTTCTCCCTTGCTCGCAGATAAAGTTTTCCTAATCTTATAAGCTTTTCAGCGTTAATGTAGAATAATAAAATATGGGAGGAGGTGAACGTGTTCTTGTCAAGGTTAGTCAACGATCGATTGGATTATTTGAAACATGTGATAACAGGTACTTGTGGGCCACAAGTCTTCCCTCTTGGAAGCTCCTACCCCTGAAGGACATTTATTTAAATGGACAGTGTTTGTGAAAACTGTTGAGCCAATGACTGATAGAAGTTTTATAAATAAGGTCTCGAAATCGGAAGTTCGGTTTTGTATGTTGTACTTTAGGTCGCGTTCCGGTTACACGAGACATTTCCAAATCCTTTGAGAACTGTTAGAGATCCACCTTTTGAAGTTTCCGAAACTGGCCATTCATCTTTTAACGTTGCTCTATCAATACATTTCAACTATAATGGAGCAAAACCTATCAAGTATGCCTATGATATGGTTATCGTTCTCGGTAAATATCGATTTTGTAGTCTCATTCTGATCTTCTGTTGTTTCAGAAAAAACAGGATACAATCAACAAGAGGTTATTTTGGAGTTAAAAGATGTTCCGCCCGCTTTCATGGATATTATAAAACGCCATGGAGCCTTCGCAAACAAGAAGAAAAGAGATTCGTTGGGGAAGGAAACTCTACCTCCAAAAAAGATGAAACCTGAAGAGTGAGTTAGGGTTAGAGATGGTTGTTTCATTAATTATTTGTAGACCCACCAAACCTCCTACAACTGATTACTCTTCTAGTAAGGAGAGGGAAAGGAAAGAAAAAAAATTGAAGGAGGACAAATTAAAAAAGAAGTCAAAAGAGAAGGATTACCGTGATTCTAAAGATAGAGAGCCCAAGGACCGTGATTCTAAAGATAGAGAGCCCAAGGACCGTGATTTTAAAGACAGAGATCGTGATCATGTGGATCGAGACCGCCATTCTTCCGACCATAAAGAACGTGAAAAGGAGAAAAAGGATAGAGAGTCTACGAAAGACAGAGAACCGAAGGAAAGGAAAGATAAGCTCATGAAAGAGTTTGATTTTTCTAAAGTTCACGATAAGAAGCTCAGCGAATCAAGGTCTCCGAAACCGGTAAGTACATTTTCTGATTATTGTTACGAATTTGAGTTTTCCAGGTTGTAAGAGAGGAAAAAAAGTCAGAAAGAGACACTTCCAAGCTAGACAATGGTAAAGAAGAAAAGCGGCTTGAAGTGTCTAGGGAAGATAAGAAATTATCACCCAACGGAGTTTCTTTCGCGGTAAAGAACAACGCAGTCAAACCTCAGGTGTCAATCTCTCCTCGTATTGAAAACAAAGTTAGATTATCGGATGCCTCTGTATGTCACAAAGGGATTGATTATCGCTATGTTTATGAAATATTCCAGGATTTGAGTTCTCCATCTTCTTCTTTATCTAGTTCTTCACTGAATGAGAGTTCGCACTCATTGACTAGCTCACCATACAGAGGGATGTCCGCGGAGGAAATGCATAGAAAGATAAATTCTTTGACGAGTGGAGAACAGATATTCAAGTAAGTTATTGTTTTGTGTGAGGCCAAAAGAGGTAGAGTTTCTAGAGTCGCTTCAATCTTACTATCACATCCTGGGACAACTTTTGTTCCTTCAAAGTCAATACTTTCTTTTGACTTGGACTTAGCTTCCGCGGATCCCTTCTTAATTCAGAAGTTGTGTCAGGCATTATCATCCTGATGAAGATACATATTTATATCTAATTTTGTATTATATATTATTAATCGTTGTGTATACACTTTATATGATAGATAGAAATAGTAACCAGAAATTGTTTCTGTTGAAACTATTGATACTCAATTTCGATGTGCTGTGATTAATTGTACTCGGACTAGTTTGCCATAATTCTTTCGACTCTTTCATAGCTTAGAAGTCAATTGCCTTACAAGATTGTGAAAGTCTGTTCTTTCTCATCTCTGCCCAAATTGCCTCTAGAAGTTAACCAAAAGTCATTTCAGTTTCCGAAAGATTTACTTGTCATTTCCCTGTTCAGATACGGATATTGTTTACGGATTTTAAAATTCTAGTTTACTTTCTTGTTCCTATTGTGATTATTCCTATATCAGGGATTCCTTTAAAAGCATCCTTCCTACCGTATCACTAAATGTAACTTTCAACATTCTTGTTTTGAAACATTTGTTTCTTTTCTAATAATATTTTACAGAATATCGATTTATTTATTCAATAAATCATTTTCTCGTCGCTCTTTCTTCAATTCAACAGTGTCATCAATGGTTTTCTTACGTTTATCGTTTATGCACATAGTCACATTCACTTAGCTACCTCATAGTTTTATATGTCTCAAACGTATCGACTAAGCCTTGTTCCGTTCCATTACGGATGAAAGCACAGGAAAAATTAAAGGTCGACAAAGAGCAGGTGAAGTGCCAATGTAGAAATGCAATATATATAGGACAATATCACAAAGAATATCTCTACACAGACATCAGATGTAATGTCACGAAGACAACAGAACATGTCAACAAGTGAGTTTCCGATATTTTTCGCAATGAATGTTCTGGCGACCTCACTCACGTCGGAAGTCTTCCATGATGCTTGCTGACAGAAGCTGACCAATATCTGGAGAGATAAGCAGATCATTCATATCTCATTGCACAAATCTTTGAGTTTTGCATACTATTAGAATAGCATAGCAAAACAACTAGGTGTAATGGGGGTGAAAGCGAGATCTTAAGTTTTCGACTGGAAATGTCAACTAAGTTTACAAATTAAGAATCGGACAGGAAAGTCGTAGTCAAAGAGAGAAGATTGTGAAGGGGAAGGTTTGACATTATTTCGTGTACTTTTCAGACGCTGGCCACCTGCCAACGGAGTTGTTTGACCGCTTCTGAATGGCCGGAAGGAGCTTGTCCACCTGGGGGCGGACCAGTTCAGCCGCCTATACTATAGCTCCTGACTAACACTCATATACAAACTTTTATTCCTGCCAAAATTCAGTTTTACTTAGTTCTTTTCGTAATGTAAGTTTAACTATTAAAGTATCAAATGCAATCATTCTTGTAAACTAACGTGTTTACGACAAAGGAATTAGTCGAAAATGCTTTTGTAATTAGATGTTACATGTTGTAATTAGAGAATAATAGTTCTCAGTCTACAGTTAAATGTCATAAAACTTGACAAGTTTAGGTAATTTCGTTTAAAGTCAAACGAAAATTAAAAGCTTTAAACCCCTTATTATGGATCTTGGACGAATTTCCTTCTTTTCAGTGTATATATCGTAGAGATGGATAGGCCGAAAGGTATTCTGTCTGGAGCTCTTTGGGATTCCAAAAAGCATGAAGATAATGAGGTTCGTTTCTTTTTTCTCATTCTTTACTTCGTCAAAACCAATTTATAAAGGTAGGAGTGAAGAAGCAAGAAGATGTGTTACCCCGAAGGCCAGTATCAGCTGGTAGTAATAGAACTGGTATGTTAGGTATGGCTTTAAAGGAAATTAAATATGCAGAGAAAGAAATCGAACACGATAGGTAGAGTTTTTTTCATTTTTTCTTGATTGACTATATCAATTGGTCACAGGTCACACGAGGAAAATAGGGCCGGGATACTAGGCACAGCTCTGGCGGAGCTCCGGAGTCACCCAATTAGAACCAGAAGAGCGGTCAGTTATCCTTATTTTACTTCTTTCTTTTTCTACGTTGGTCCTCCCTTCCTTGCCAAGTATGAACAATGGAGGAAGTACTTGATGGAGCAGGAAGAGAGCTCAGGAAATTTCTTCTTCGAAAAAAAGAGAAAGAATTCGTTCTCATGTTGATTATTATAATTAAGAGACAACAGAAATAACGTAAAAACCTTTACAGAGTTTTTCTAATTGCACATCGACACCATCGGAAGTAGCGAATCAAGATGAAGGAGGTGGAATGATAGCTAAACTACTAGGTCATGCTACAGAAAAAGACTTACAAAACTTAGGAATAACCGTAGAAAAAAAGGCTTTATACAAGAATTAATTCGTTTCTCTTGAAGGATATACTGTCGGACAGCAGAAATTTAGTGAAGAATTCTACTCCAAATTCAAGAAGACAAAGCTTCGTTCCAAAGCAACGTTCCAAAGATAGTGCTCACAGCACTGACCATCATGTAGAAGGGAAGCTTGATGAGAAATCGGTAATTTTTCTCAACTTAATTGCTAGTAACACACGTCTTTGTAGTCGTACATCACAATCGTTGATATTGAGAAAGATAAGTCAGAGGGACATGATGGCAGATCAAGCCCTTCAAGTCATGTGGAACAAGTTGATATTTCCATGGCTGATCCGGAAACCAAGATTTTATATTTTGCTCGTCGTGAAGATTGGCCGAATGTTGATCACGAGCTTGAGAAAATAACAAAAGGCGATTTCTCACAAGCTGATCAGGTATTTGCGTATGTTTGGAGAGCTTAGTATGCTTGATTATGTTTTAGAATGGATTCAATGCATTGCTTTTGGCAATTAAAGATGGTCGACGAACAATCGTCGAAAAGCTTTTGAAAAAAGGAGCTGACATCATGGTCACAACAAAGGTAAAACATCTGAATTAACTTGACATTTCCAATTATTTCCTGTCCAGGACAAACGTAATGCCACGCATATAGCAGTTATGTATGCCGGAGAAGACATGTTAGAGCCATTGATAACAAGGAATAAAGAACTTTTACGGAAGCCAGCTGGGGTTAGTGCTTTGTGAATTTATAGAAAAAAAACTTCTTAAATGTAACTCTGACTTGTTCTGGAATTATAATGGCGTATATGACTTAGCAATTCATTGAGGTACTGCGAGCGCTATTCAAAGTCACAGAGAACAAGGTAGCCTGGCCTTCATTGTGGTCAAGTTTACAAGACTCGTGAGAAATTAAGAATCATCATCCCCTTATTTCTTGGTGGTCAGCGAAATTCGTGAAAAAGTAATAGGAAGCTAGCTAACGCTGGTCAGATTGAGTCTGCATGAGGTGCTCAAGCGTTTCGAATTGAAATTGGGATTGTGTGTAAAGCGTTGCCATAAATAGAAACACTTGAAATATCAGTACTATCTTTTCCTATGTTTTATTAGTTGTTCGAGTAAGGTTAGTATGGTTCATTCCGTTTTTCTTTCTCTGTCGCAATATGGGCGTTTGTTCTAATGGTCTTCCGGCTAGCTATTTTCGCTGTCTCGCATCTGCTCTAAGCCATTTTCTACTTCTCTCTCCTTCATTCTCTCTTTCTCTCTTCCCCTCTCATTTTTTCTTTGGATCTATGTCAGACAATCTTTACGCTTTCTCACTCCTTATTTAGCAAAGTAAGGAATGTGGAGTTATGAGTGGATATAACTATACGTTTTCATATAAATATATAAACTATAGCTCTCGCTATAGCTAGAAACTAGTATACACATGTATGAGATAAATCGGAATCATACAGTATAATCAGTAAACTCTTATAAACATTGCACCAAACACGGAAATACTTAGACATATGTACTTAGCCATTGTTTTTATTTGTTTGATGTCAATTGGGATTTCAAATAAATGTACTTTGGACTCTCGTACTCACCTCACTTTCCAACACATAATTATATGTACTTCCATTTTTCAGTCAAAGAATCAACTTCCTATACATGTGGCTTGTGAAAGAAGATCCAAGAAGTCTTATTACATTGTCAAACGAATATTGGATGAATTAGATCAGCGATTAACAGCTGATGGGGATGGATCGTTGCCCATTCATTTGGCATTGAAGGTGGATAACATAATCTCCATATGCTGAGCTATATTGAGCTTTCAGGCATTAAACTTATCGCTAGTTGAACTTTTGTTATCAAAAAGAGCTCACGAACAGAGCAGCAGTGTTGATGGAGCTGGGGATACTCTACTGCACATAGCAGCGCGCACTGGCAGCATGGGTCTGGCTTTTTGATGCACTATTCTGATTAATCGTATATTTCTTTAGATGCTGTTCGTGTTGCTATTGCTGCAGGCTGCGACAATGCTAATGCTCAAAACAAAATTGGACGAACCCCTCTTCATGAGGTAGCTCAGATTGGTGACGGAAATCTTTTGAAAGTTATGTTCAAACTGCATGCTGATGCCAATATACATGATATGGTTTTTTTAATTATATCACACTTGTCCTAACCAAATGATTTTGAACAGGACGATAAAACTCCAGTACACGTTGCTGCGGAAAAAGGCTATACTTCTATTGTTGAATCTCTTATCGACAAGTTTGGGGGATCCATACGAGCAAGAACTAAGGATGGATCAACTTTACTTCATATTGCTGCACAGTCTGGGCATACAAGTACTGCTTTAGCTTTCCTAAAGCGAGGTGGGTTACTCAAACGGCTTCATAAAACTTTCTTTTTATTAAGGTGTTCCTTTGTTCATGCCAAATAAGGAAGGTGCGCTAGGGTTACACGCTGCCGCTGCCGCAGGTTTCAATGAAGTAGTGAAAATGTTGATTGCTCGTGGAACGAATGTAGATATCAGAACAAGGGTAAATAATTAGAATAAATGAAACTGTACCATCTCATTAGGATAATTATACTGCTCTTCATGTGGCGGTTCAATCTGGAAAAGCTTCCGTTGTCGAAACGTTACTAGGTGCCGGAGCTGATATCCATGTCTGTGGAGGAGAACTTGGTCAAACAGCCCTGCATATAGGTTTTGATGCATTTTGATAACATTCTCAGTGTTCTGCTTCAGCTGCTTCGTTGAATGGACCTGAATCTAGGGATTGTGCAATGATGCTTTTAAAATCAGGTGGACAACCTGACGTAGCTCAGGAGGATGGCGAGACCTGCTTACACATTGCTGCAAGAAATGGAAACAAAGATATAATGAGGTCGATTTTCACAGACGAAAAGAGTTGGATTTATCAATGCTTCAGATTGCTTTTGAATGAAAACGCGAATGCGCAGTTGAGATCAAAAGCAGGAGAAACTCCTTTACACGTTGCTGCCAAATCATGTAACTACGAAGCCGCTCAGATGATTTTGAGTCATTTGTCAGAAAGATACACTCCTGAAGAAATGAAAAGCTTTGTGAATCAGAGAAGCAACGTTAGCTCTTTTTTAAATTTTCGTCTGACTTTTTGCTTTCAGGATAGTTTTACTGCTGTTCATTATGCTGCTGAGATAAAATCTGGAGACCTGCATTTCCCTGGTGAAGATGCAAAATTAGTTAACTTGTTGATTGACTTCGGTGGACTAGTTGAAATTCAATCTCAACATACACAAGAAACTGCAATGCACATGGCTGCCAGATCTGGAAACCAGGCAGTTCTTCTGGCAATGGTCAACAAAATTGGCGCTGGTTCTGTTCAAATTGTTCAGAATAAGCAAAGCAAGGTGAAGCCAACCTTCTAGTTCTGCGTTTTGTTAAACTACTATTTTCAGAATGGCTGGTCTCCACTTTTAGAAGCTTGTGCTAGAGGTCATACAGGAGTTGCTCACGTGCTTTTACAGCATCATGCGCGTATTGACGTTTTTGATGAACAAGGTCGAACAGCTTTGCACTTAGCTGCTCTGAACGGACATTTGCAAATAGTACATCTTCTACTCCAACATAAAGCTTTTGTCAACAGGTAATATTAGATGATATTCAAGTCACGTACGATTTAGTAAATCAAAAACGGGCGAAGCTCCTCTTCATCTCGCAGCCCAAAACGGGCACGTGAAGGTCATTAACGTTCTAGTTCAAGATCATGGAGCAAGTCTTGAAGCCATAACCTTGGATAATCAAGTGAGCTTAAGAAGTATACATAATATAACTAACAATGTCTAGACTGCTCTACATTTTGCTGCTAAATATGGTCAACTAGGAGTGAGTCAAACATTGTTGGCACTTGGTGCAAACCCTAACGCTCGTGACGATAAAGGACAGACTCCACTCCATCTAGCAGCAGAAGTAAATTGATAACTCAGTTCATTACAAATTACAAATTCCAGAATGATTATCCGGATGTGGTGAAGCTTTTCTTGAAAATGAAACAGAATAATCGTGGAGTTTTAACAGCTATAGATCATAATGGATTCACGTGTGCTCATATCGCCGCAATGAAGGTTCTGATATCAGTTGATGTTAACAATCCTAATGTTTTTAGGGTTCACTTGCTGTTGTCCGCGAGCTGATGATGATCGATAAAGCTATGGTCATTCAAGCAAAAACGAAAACTCTTGAAGCTACAACTCTTCACATGGCTGCAGCTGGAGGTCATACCAATATTGTGAAAATTCTATTGGAGAACGGTGCGAGCGCTGAAGATGAAAATGCTGTGAGTTCTAAGGCAGTCTAATATTTTATTCCTTGTTTTAAGCATGGGATGACAGCATTGCATCTCGGTGCCCGTCATGGCTTTGTTTCCATATTGGAAGCTTTTGACAAGCCACTTTGGAGAAGATGCTCGCGAAAGGTATTTAGGTTTTCCTTTTACAGTGGAGTTTTTTTCCTTCCGTAGACTGGTCTAAATGCTCTTCATATAGCAGCCTTTTACGGAAACTCGGACTTTGTAAATGAAATGTTGAAGCATGTGCCGGCTTCAATAAGGTCAGAACCCCCCATTTACAATCATCATGTAGTGAAAGAGTTTGCAACTGAGGTAATGACGTGTGTTTATCATTATTTAATGTTTATTTTATTCAGTATGGATTCACTCCATTGCATTTAGCCGCTCAATCAGGACATGACTCTTTAGTGCGTATGTTGTTGAACCAGGGAGTCCAAGTGGATGCAACTAGTACAACTATGGTACGGTTTCACCTAATAATCATACCTTCATTATGTTCAACTTGATAACTAATGAGATTCTAATGATTCTCACTTAGTAGTGAGTAAGAGGGAATAAGTTTATGACAGTTTAGTACTAATTATGTTGACAACTGAAGTTTTTTTGCTATATTTGCATGAGAATTGGATGTGAGCTTTCATTCAGTC